CTTAGATGGGTCTCGACTGATTGCACGAATTTTGAACTTATCAGACATGTTCTCTTTCACGTAGGAGACGACGGAACTGCCCTGTTGACCAGTAGCCCCAAAAACAACTAACACTTTACTCATTATTATAATAATAATGATTTTTATAATAATAATGATTTCATTAAAAACATTCTGTCTTGAAAGTTCACCCACTTTATACTTTTGTTTCAAATATTAATTAATAAGTAAATATTCATCAGTCTATTCCAGCTTAGCTAGTATACTCTAGTAAAACAGTAATCCTGACTAATCTGACTAATCCTTCGTACTATGGGGAAAATACGTTAGTTTATAAGACTTGCTTCTTCTTTGATTACATAACATATAGTGCCTATTTCCGTCTTAATTATATGAACTGCAAATGCTAAATCCGTTTGCAACCTTAGTCAATTAGTAAGAAACCAGCTTGACGAATCCTTCGTACTGTGCGGAAGCGACGGTAGGAAATAAGGCTTATTTTCTCGTTGATTATATTATGTATATAGTGCTTATTTCTTTTTTGATTGTATCAAAAGTTCATTTCTGTTTGTAAGCTTAGTCCATTAGTAAGACTTTCTATTGTGTAGCTATATGAGGCTGATGATAGTATCAAAAAAAATGCTGTTGATCACTTACTTTAGGTGTTTATCATACATTGTACTCTATCATAGTTTATGATTAGGATCTCTTTAACCATTTTTAATATTACCAGTATTTCTTCCCCCTCGATAGTCATGCCATTTTCATTACAGAGACTACTTTGGTTAAGATTGACTTATATCCACAATCTGAGCTAACTTGCAATATTGCTTACAATAATTTTCAACAGAGAAAGTAAAACATACTTTATAGTAATGGTAAAAAATTAACTCAATGAACACTAATAATTGTTATTAATTGACTAAATAAGATCATAAAAATTGCATATACTGCTATAATCCTAGAGGATTCCTCTGAAAGAATTCTTCCAACGTGCTGAGCTTTTCAGGAACTTGCTGCATCCCCCATTCGGCCTTTTCCTTTGTTTCGGGACCATAGAGATTATACTTATCAAAAAATTGGAACATTTCAGTTATCTCCTCAGCTATAGGTGCTGGTATTTGTTCTTTGAATGTATTCTCCGGAATTTGTTTGTAACTTACTGGTTTCCCAAATACTTTTGTAATTGTCTTAACTATGGTATCAAAAGAATACATACCATTTGCCGCATATAGAACCTCCCCGTGAAACTTTTCGGGATCACTAAGGATTACTCCCACAAATTTACCAATATCATCTGTATTTACAAAAGGTATTTCAGATTCTGGTCTCAAAACATTAAACACTGCATACTTCTCATCACCTACTGGTTGCGGTTTTAACATCGTTAAAAAATTTTGCATGAAACAGCCCGGGCATATGAATGACCCATTAATTGGCAAGCTACGAATGTACTTC